CAGAGACCCAAAGAGAGAGCGAGAGACAGGGAGAGATTCACAGTGAGAGAGAGAGAGCAAGAGAGAAGGGAGGAAGCTGCAAGGGACCAGAGAGGGCTCAGAGAAACAGACGGCACTGGAGGGGGAGGAGAGCCGAGTGGCGAGAACAGAAAGACTGGCGAACAGGCGGAGACAACGCTGGGTGCCAGGGGCCCCTGAGGACCATCCCCCCAGCTTCCTGAGTGCCGGCGGCTGAGCTGGGTCCCCACCTGCACACAGGGCTTGCCTCCCCATCACTGTTTCCCAGCCAGTCCCATGTGAGCCACATCATCTTCTTGGAGCCTCCAAGCTCCCCTGTGGTGAGGGAGTAACCAGTGTTTTTGTAAAGGTGACAGCTGACCCCTCACCCTGGTGTCTGCCAGGGATCAGCTGCTGTGGGCTAGCTCAGGCTCATGTGAGGTCACTGGGGAAGAAAGAGCCCCACCAGGGTGGGCACAGACAGTGGAAAGACCCTCTGGTCCAGCTGCTGGGGACCCGTGGAGGGGGCCTGGGTTGGCCAAAGTTAGACCCATCTACTCTCCCCTGCCCCCAGAGGGTAGGGGAATAGGGATGCCTTTCTCTCCTTATATCCCAGGACCCTCCCCTTCTCAAACACCCTCTATAGCTCCCCATTACTTTTCAGATTTTCTAATTCCATGTCTGATTTACCTTCTCTTTCCAGCTAGCCCATCCGAAAAAACGAAGGCACAGAGAGATTAAGTAACTTTCCCCCAAGGGAAACTGGGGCTAAATCTGTAAGTACCGTATGAGTTTTCCTAGTGGACATTAGTAAAATGGGGATGAACAGCATTCCAGACAGAGGCAACAGTAAATGCAAAGGCCCAGAGGTAAGAGTCAACATGGATAAGAGCCCCTGGAAGGGGCTTGTTGACCTAAAAAAGAAACTGAGGTCAAATACATATAGCAAGGATTTATTGGGCCGGCCTGGGGTACACTGAGGGTTCGGATCCCACATACAGACCGGTTCCCGCTCACTGGCTGAGCGACGTGTGGGCGCAACACTGAGTGTTGCGATCCCGTTGCCGGTCCCGGTCCGGTGCGGGCGTGACACTGAGGGTTGCGGTCCATTGCCGGACACGACAAAAAAGACAAAAAGGAAAAAAAAAAAAAAGAATTTATTGAGCCTATATGACAATTGCAAGCTGAGAGACACATAGATCAGGTTGCCCTGAAAAATGTGTTCTGAAGAGGGCCAGCAAGGCATAGCAGTTTATAACCACCCGGGGGAGAAATCAAAGGAGAGAGGTGGGACAGCCCCCTAATCACGCCGTCACTTTTTCTGTTGGTTGCACATGATGTATAGACCTGGGATTGTTATTATTACATCCTGCATGCAGGGTTCTAGGGTAAGCTTTACAAGAAGTGTCTTAGGTGATTTTATGGCTTTCTGGAGCCATTATGGCTGCTTTTATGTAAAATGGTCTTATGATGACTTTTTCAGGACAGGTGGACGTGATTACTGACCTATCCCAGATCTCCCAAGGCACTAAAATTTAGCTGACGTGTTCAGAGCAGATTCTTTTGNGGCACAGGAATGGGGTCGTGCTCCAGGCAGGCGAGGACACCAGAGGTGGGGCAGAAGGTGAAGGTCAGAGTTGAAACTGAGCTGGCCTTGGCTTGGGCAATATCGCCACCTGGTCGTACTTGTATGAAACTGCACCCCCTTCCATTGGCTCATTCAGAAGACACATTTTGTAAGCCCATTAGCGTTCCCAGTGTATTTGACACCCACAGTGGATCGTTTTTAACAACTCCTTCCTATAAGGTAATATTATTTTCAGCAATAACCGTAAAATTTAAAAAGCAATAATTACCATAAAAGAAATGAAAGTCAAATTTTAGTTTCTGTCTGATATATTTTATGTAATACTGTAAATTATTGTCCAGTAACTAAGTGAATTTT